GAATAGAAAAGGGCCAACTCTAAAAATCTAATTATAATCATAAAATATACAAAAATATATATGTGTGTTTATTCAACATAAATTAAAATAACAAACAAGGGCCCATTCATACCTCATATAAAACTATAAAAACATACAAGGGCTAATAAGATAGACCTAATAAGATAGACCTAACGCGTTTCGGCCTTTACAGGCCTTCCTCAGAGGTCTAATACGTACAGCTGATGTGCAAAAATACATACAATTCTACATATACAAAAATACAAATGCAGTGCTTTTAACCTAAGGAACATTTTATTTGGAACATTTGGCTGTACAACCTCAGATGAATACACAGTTGACCAGAGAGAAGTAACACTGGACATGTGATTTCACTGGAGGCTTCATTTGTATTTCTGTATTTCTTTTCCTTGCCCAGTGGTTAAACTTTGGAACAATTGATTTCTGGTCTTTATTCCATATTTTATATATGTAGCTGTGGCGAAAGCTAACAGCGAACCGATCGGACCGACGAAGAAGAGGTCTACTCAATCCGGCGGTAAGAAAGGAACTGGCGGGATGTCCGCGCCCACCCCTCTGGGCATGCGCGGTGGGGTTCCTGCGCATACCTGGGGAACTGGGCGCGAAAATCCATTAAAAGAGCTTGCTACAGCACCGATCGATCCAGCGCGTGCGCAGTAGATCCCATGGGTGTGAAGCACAGAGACCACGTCGAAGATACAATGTTTCAGGGTATAAGGGAAGGGTCTGCAATTTGCAGAGTCTTGAAATGCAAGACGGGTCGAATTGCTGGCTTTCACCCTGGGCGCCAAACATGTTTTTGAGATGTGCCCCACGTAACAGTTGCTTTCTGGGATTCACCTGGGGGCCTTCCTCCCCTGCTCTAACACACGTGGGTTTATTTTCCAGAATGCCTAATGGAAGCAGGAAGTGTGGCAAGTGGATCCAGCGGCAGCCAGACCCCGGAGCCTGTCGAAACCTGCGGCTTCTGCTTTCCTGAACAAAGCCCTGCCGTGCAGGAGTCCACAGCCTGCCACAGAACTTACCAGCTCGGAGCCCAGGAGGATACTGCTGCCAGTGCTGGAATGTCAAGTCCGGGGATTGTGGGAACTATCCCTACCCCTGAGGACGGCCACTTCCAGATTATATGCTCTCCCTCACAAGAGAAGATGCAGATGACTTGAGGGGAACAAGATCTGTAACCTGCAGATCTTCTCTCTCCCCCCCCAAATATCTCAAACCACACTCCCAACAAAGCTGCTTGACTGTTTCAGATCTCTGCCCTGCAGTTTCTCCACCTGTGTCTCACTTTAAGAACCAGATTACACAAATCATCAGGAACCAGTGACAGAAAGAAGTGATCTCTGTATTTCAGGGAGCAAGTGGTGAATGGCCAATGTTTGAACGCCCCTTCTACCCTACAGAAAAAGGGTTCTGAGTCCCGTCCCCCTGACGGCACAAACAATAAGCCCCACCCCCCATTTGTAGGCGCACATCAGACATTTTTCTAGCAAAAGACACAGAAACGAAGAACTGAACAGCACCAGAGACAGAAAAGCAGTATTTATCTCCATTTTCTATTTTGTCTTACTTTTTTTGCCCCTAGTGATCAATTTATTTTCTAGAAACAACCGTCGCCCCGCCACCAAGTCACAGCTGACTTATGGAAACCCTGGAGGGTTTTCAAGGCAAGAAACATTCAGAGGTGGTTTACGATCGACGGTCTCTGCGTCACAACCCTGGCGTTCCTTGGAGGTCTCCCATCCAAATACTAGCCAGGGCTGACCTTGCTTAGCGTCCAAAGTCTCACGAGATCATGCTAGCCACTTATAGCTCCTTATTAAATGCCTTAGTTCCCACTACACAAATTTCTTTCCCGCTGTACAAGGGGCATCAAGCAGCACATTGGGATAAAATGTGAAGAGTTCCCTGCACATGGAAAACTGACACATCGGAGAAAAAGTTTTCAGCTTAGACTTTCCCCTATTCGTTTCACACTGGCACACATGTTAATATCCATAAACGCCTCGGAAACCTGATTTACCCACTGTTCTAGGAATAGCCAGATTCCCTGGGGGGGGGGGGGGGGGACGGGACGGGACGGGACACACTTTTACTCAAAAAAATTGCAAGCTGCTAAGATAATGCTGATCTTTAAGACTATGTCTGTACACAGGATTAGAAAAATAAAAATGCCCCCAGTGAAATATGCAAATATCAAATCAGTAGCATATGGAATAAAATAGCTGCTTTCTGCAATGTGAGTCTTTGTAGCCAGTTCACATATTCGACACACAAGAACAGAGAGACACCCCCCAAACCTGGATGCTTTAAACCCTGCTGGATTAGGCCTACAAAAAGAGTGATAGTGGTCAAAGACTTCTCCCTGCCCCTATCAGCCCCTCAGTAGCTGATACTCAGGATATCTACCAACTCTGAACACAAAGTTCTCATGGCCAACAGCCCTCAGCAGACCTGCCTTCCATGAAGTGGCCTAATCCCCTTTTAAAGTCAATGAATTTTATGCTGACTCTTAAACGAGTCCCACTGATTTTTAGGGAGGCTAGCTTATCCGTGGTGCCGTGCTTCGTGATGACATAAAACTACGGGTACCACTGACCTCACTGGCCGGTGTGTGCCTTCCCATCTCCAGAGCCAGCCATTCGCCCACCAGGTGCTCAGTTAAAGTTCTGGTGTCTTTCACTGATAAGTGAAAAAGTGAGCTGTGACTCACGAAAGCTCCTGCCCTGCCACAAATGTTGTTAGTCTTTAAGGTGCTACCGGACTCTGGCTCTTTTCCGCGGGTACAGACAAACACGGCTACCCAGCTTGATAGCTGAAGGTTACGGGGGAATCTTGAGTGGAGGACTGGAGAAGAGGGGGGGAAACCTAGGGGAGATGCTTAACCCTTTCCCTGACGGCCATTTGTCTACTCCAGCCATCCCCCCAGTGAATTTCTCACATGCAAGAGAAAGGATCGATTGAGCAATCTCCTGGTTGCCCACTCAAGATTGTCGTCTCCTGCAGCTGCTCTTTCTTGGGAGGTTTGCATGTGTGTGTGTGTGAGGAAACACACCTGTTGGGAAAAGGAACTGTGCAACATGTTGCTTGACCTCAGGATAATGCACATGAAGCACTTTGAACACCCGAAACCCAGTATAAAAAGAGAAAACCTTCTTGTAGAAGTGGGGACCACGCCCCAGGTTCGCTACAGCTCACTGAGATGGGCAGAACTGGCTCTCAGTCATGCAAGAAGCAAAACAGCAAATACCCACCACTCCACCTGACCCCAGAAAGTAGCGTCAATAATGCCCAGGATGCTACTTAATTCAGAGCTGGCTTGTCTTGGGAGGGGGTGGAGGCCTCCCTCCCGGTTACCAGGCAACGGGAGCACAAGGCCCATGCGCTGTTAAGCAGACATGAAATGGTGACTCTTTCTTCAGTGCTCGCTGTGACGGGCTAAGAGACAGAACACCATGTGATGCTCCAGGATATAACGCCGCTCCGCCTTATCCAAGTTCCACAACAGCAGGACTTCCCAGGATTGTTTTCAAGACAATGATGAACGATGGGAGAGGAGGGGGCTAAAATCAACCACACACACCCTTGAGTTTGAAAGGCAGTCAGTAAAACACACACCAATGGCATATAACAAAACGGGGGGGGGGGGATATGATATCATCATGTACCAACTTAGCTTTTGACAAAACCCCAATACACCTCATACAGGATAGTGCATGATTTATTTTGATTTACTGTCTAAACTGCATGAACTGAGAACTGTGAGGACTGAAAAACATTTCTCAGCGGACTTATGGTGACCCGTGGTGGGGTTTTCAAGGCCAGAGATGTTCAGAGGTGGTTTCCCATTGCCTACCTCCGTGTCATGACCCTGGTATTCCTTGGAGATCTCCCATTCAAATGCTAACCAGGACTGACCCTGCTTATCTTCTGGGATCTAATGAGATCAGGCAAGCCTGGGCTATCCAGGTCAGGTCACCTGTGCTTACCTTCACATAACCGCAGTCCAAAGTTTGAACAGCAGCTGCAGATAATCCTGCAAAGGTTAGCAATTCAGCAAAGATGCCTTTGTGCCTGCCAGTGGCATTTCTAGCACCACATTGGGGAGTTGGGGGTCCGACGGCAGCTGCCCCAGATGAAGTCTACTTTGAAATAAAAGCCGCAAGCAGGCAAGTGATGCCCAAGGGTTGTCATCAAACACGCCTTGACTTTGGCTTGTTAGATAGTCACTATGAAAGAGCTGCCTCAAAGAGACTAAGCGTGGAAGTTTTGGGAAACTGGAAGACTTTTTTTCTTCCCTGGAGACGTGCAGAAAGATGGGATAGCAAAGCTGTCTGTGGACTTACTAATTTTCCAGAACTTGTCTGCACGGCTACTCATATCCTGCCCCCACAAAAAAACCCACTGAAAAACCCGGGTTTTTAAAGTCATGCAGTATTAGCCAATACACTCAGCTTCTCTGCCAAGTTTTGGCATCCTCAGAGGCAACATTTCTCCGGGCAGTAACTGTGAGGGTTCAAACAGAAACCAGATACGCTTTGCTATCAATATTGCTTCTCCTAGAGAATCACCTAATTCAGTACGATGCACTTTGGTTGCTCTTTGGGGCACTGACAGTGAATAAGAGGCTTGGTCTCAATTTCGTGGAAAGATACTGATGACGTCCTTCAGACGTCCTTCCAGTACTCTAGAGTCTACAGCCATGATGACGGGAAGGGGGATTCAGGGCCTTTGAAACAGGGCCTCCAACCAAGATCCCTAAAATTCTGACTGGGCTTGGCTGCCATCAACGACTGGGCCCCAATTCAGAGCTTTCAGGGGAGAATCAGGTCTCTTACTATGCACTAGGTGAACGCAGGATGAGTCTTTCCCATAAATCCCAACCTTCCCCAAACCTTTGAGGAATAAGAATGACAGAGAGAGACTGGTGCTCCTCCTTTCTCCAGTGCTCAAGGCAAAGCGGAGACTTACTCAAGGACTCTCAAAGTAACATTCAAGGCAGCTGTACCAAGAACAGGTCCACGGTCCCCCGCCCCCCCCGGGGTGACTATTCTGGTGGCTGCATCCTCCCCACGACAACAAAAAAGAAACAGGTTAAAGTGATTAAGCATCAAATACCCCACAGTGTTCAAGCCAGACCTTGCTTAGTAAAGGTAAAGGTTTCCTTTGCTTGAAAGCCAGTCGAATTCAACTCTAGGGATGCAGTGCTCATCTCCATTTCCAAGCCGAAGAGCCAGCGCTGTCCGAAGATGTTTCCGTGGTCATGTGGCTGGCATGACTAGACGCCGAGGTGCACGGAACGCTGTTACCTTCCCACCAAAGCGGTACCTATTTATGTACTTGCACTTTCTTGCTTTCGAACTGCTAGGTTGGCAGGAGCTGGGGTCAGAGACAGGAGCTCAGTCTGTCATGCGGCACTTGGGTCTTGAACTGCCGAGCTACTGACCTTCCAGTCTGCACCTAAGTGTCTTAACTACTGAGTGTCTGAGTAAGCAAGTACTAAATTAGAGTGAAAAATCAAAATCCCTCCCCCCTTGGCCTGGAATATCATTCCCAACGACGACAGTTAGATGCCCTCGTTGACATGACAGCAATCCCGGCACCCTTGTTAAGTCTTTAAAAGATGGCTTCACGATCCATTAGCACAACTGATCTACCAGCACACAGATATCTATCTCCTTCCCATCGATACCTGTGTGCAACCCTCTCCTCCCACCCGGGCAGAATCTTTGCACTGCATACATGTAGCTTGTGAAAGATGCACACAAAGGGTTAAACAATTGCATCGATTCCCTTCCTAGCTGGGAAAAAAGAGGTTTCCTTTCTTTGGCGTTTAACAGAAGAAAAGGAAGTAGAGAGGTTGGAGATATGTGCAGGGTGGGGGGGAGCCGCCAGTGCTCTTTACCAGCGTTACGCCCATTCCACCACAAGGGGGTGCCGTATCTCTGTTCTACAGAAGCTTTAAAGCAGCTTGTGCTGCAGCAGTGTCAGCCAGGAAGTCGTAAGAGACCAACTCCTCTCCCACTGCAAGCTCACTGCATTATTAAAAAGGAAGCAGGAAGACACCATTACAACAACAGGGGGCGTTTTTAAAAGGACCTCTGCTTCACTTGCCCGTTGTGACGCTCGCACTCAGTCGATTTAAACATGCACTGCCAGGCGTCCACAAACTACCACACGCCTACAAGTGATATTTTGGAGAATGAAAAACCCGGGAGCAAAAAGACACACACACATATGGATCATCTGCCTAGCCACTCCCAACGCAGTTTTGACATCCAGATTAGAGAAGAGCATGGCCAGAGGCAGCATTGTGGCATTATCCTTTTCTAGATTCTAATGAGCCTGGCTTCGTTAGGGCAACCAGCATCCCGAATGTCAGCCGTTGTGGGACCTCTTCCCATACTGATTTCTGAGCACTGACAACCACACTGCCGTTCGCAGAGGACTGGGGGCAGATTCGAGGGTGTGTGCTCCTATCACGCAGGGCATTGGCCGGGCCTTCCGAGTCTCACTGATATCCTCATGTGAATTGAGCATACGCTATTCAGCACACCTCTGGGGGCAGCACATTGCAGGGAAAATCAGAAGTGGCGAGCACACACACACACACACACACACACACAAAGGCCTTTCCAATAAAGCCATTTTGCCATTTCTGATTTTCTCAGGGACAAAAGTTCAGTAAGCTCACTCAGGCAAGTGGAGACTCCTCTGAACACAGCACACTAGAGCCTTACGGGAAACAAGTCTCGTTCGGTAGCATGGGACTTCCATCTGTAGAATACTGTCGAGCTACCACAGTGCTAAAATTTAGGTGACAGATCAAGATGGGTAGCTGTGCTGGTCTGCCTGGAGCAGCGGAAAAGAGCGAGCGCCTAATAGCACCTTAAAGACTAGCAACATTTCTGGCAGAGTAACACACAAAAGCTCGTATCCTGCCACAAATTTTGTTGATCTTTAAGGTGCTACTGTGACAGCAGCCATGAAATTAAAAGATGCCTGCTCCTTGGGAGGAAAGCGATGGTGAACCTAAACAGCATGATAAAAAGTAGAGACATCACCCTGCCAACAAAAGTCTGCATGGTCAAAGCAATGGTATTCCCAGTAGTCATGTATGGCTGCGAGAGTTGGACTATAAGGAAGGCCGAGCACCGATGAATAGATTCTTTTGAACTACGGTGCTGGAGAAGACTCTTGAGAGTCCCTTGGACTGCAAGAAGATCAGATCAGTCAATCCTAAAAGAAACCAACCCTGACTGTTCCCTGGAAGGCCAAATAATGAAACTGAAGCTCAAATACTTTGGCCACCAAATGAGAAGGGAGCACTCACTGGAGAAGACCCTGATGCTGGGAAAGATTGAAGGTCAAAGAAGACGGGGACGGCAGAGGATGAGATGGTTAGACAGTGTCAAAGATGCAACTAACATGAAATTGAGCAAACTTCAGAGGACGGTGGAAGACAGGAAGGCCTGGCGTGATCTGATCCATGGGGTCGTGAAGAGTAGGACTCGACTGTGCGACTGAACAACAACAACAAAGGTGCTACTGGACTCTTGCTCTTTTCTAAAATTTAGGTGGCGAGAGATTCATTTGAAAAAAGCAGAACTAGGAAATACCTTTATTCCATTCTTTAAAAAACAATGTATCACTCATCTTCAGCATGTCTACAAAGCTCCACCAAACTGCTTACTGTGTAGAAATCCACCTACCTGACTGTCAGGATCATGCCCAGCCCATAGCAGCCCCTCTGACTGCCTCTAATCTCCGTGGTTGCTAGCTGTCTCTCTACTATTCCTTCACCTCCACTGCCTGCTGCAAGAGGCAAGAAGTACACGGATCAGAGGAAGAGAAACAGACACATTCGAGCCTGGAAACAGTATCTACACATTAGCAGAGCACAAATCTCCACAGACAAGGCCAAGGTAGTTCAGGTCTGCTCTCCTCACCACAAAAGGTGTGTGTGTGTGTGTGTGTGAGCATCTCTGACTTTCACCGTGCAGCAGGATTCTTCAGCAAGTGGAGCAAGCACACGGCAGCTTGGCAAACTGACTTTCCCTCCCTCTAGGGTCCCCAACAGGAACTTACACAGAGGCACAGGACAATTTGTTCCTTGCATGCTAGAAGATTTCCGGATCATGGTAACCCGATCGAGTTTCCGAAATATCAAGCAACTTTGCAGAGGTGATGCAAGCTGTGAAGTTTTAAAACAGAAGAACAAAAAAGTCCCCCCAAACATCTGGCACTTTTGGGTGGGCATTTGCAGCAGCCATTTACACAAGGAACAGTTGTAAAAGAGGGGGACAAAGCCAGTTTCTGCTGTTACTGTGTTTGTGCATGTGTGCATGTGTGTGCGTGTGCACACAGGCGGTTGTTAAACTGTGCATTCTGAAGAGCTTTTAACAAGGTAAAGCAACTCTTTTTCTCCTGAGCTTCGAATCAAATATGGCCCTGCCTCTTAATTATAAAATATATGGCCCTTGCAGCCTGCCAGCCAGTGTCTAGACAGCGAGGAGTGGAAGGGGAGGGGGAGGAGGAGAGGAACATAAACACATTTGTGACAGAGCACACAAGCAAGTCAACCTCCCAGGCATCCAAGAACGAATGGCGCAGCTGAGGGCTGGGCTTTGTATACAGAGTGGGTATGATGCATGAGAAAATTAATATCTCTTAGAGATAAGGGACTAACAAAAGCAGAGCAAGTGAGAGAAACCTTTTGTGTTTACTTTCCCGCCTGGTGCAAAGGCAGAGGTGTCCGAGAGTCGGAAATTAACTGGCAGGATGGCACCCGATCAGGGCAAGTTAGCAGATGGCAGATTTCTTCCAATTCCAAAGTGTCTCACGAGGGCTATATTTCTTTGGAAAGGGAGGGTGGAAAAAACAAAACAAAACCATCGAGCAAAAGCAACGCTGCCCAGAGATCAGGCTTTTTCACATTTTCTCCCCCCCCCCCAATAAAACAACCAAGACCACTTTTACAGTATCAACAAGCCGATTCGTTCATTTTTCTTTTTTCATTGGTAGCAATTATGCATTTCATCCTGGGGAGGGGGGATTACCTGTGCAGCAGCAAAGAGGTGCCCAAGGGAGTTGCCACACGGAGATCATCTTCCAGTGCCCGCAAATCCAGTCTTTTAATGCTCACCAAAACACAAAATGAAGAGCCTAATAATATTATACTGTATTTATTTAATAACTAAAATTCACAAATAAAAAGGTACTTGCAAAGTCCATTTTCGTTGCGTCTTCCCAATTCTCCTCCATTTTTTTTACTGCGTTCGGACCCATAGGCATTTTTCGTTTGTTTTTTTAAAAAAATGGGTTTGGATTCAGGCTTTTGTTTTTAAATTATAACTGTCATATGATTGGTCAATACTTGGAGCAGAAGCACCAATGGAGAAGATGCTTGTATGGAGATGAGAGTACAACCCCCCCCGCCCGGCCTTCCCACACACATTTTTTGGAGGAACTCGGGGAGATGTGCCAGCGCGTGGACTCCCAGTTTTTCCCCCCCACCCAGAGCAATCTTTCCGTTATTATATTTCCTCTCTCACAAAAAAGTCACTGTCTGTAGCCTCGTTTACATTTCCCCCCCTCTTCTGTCCCTGCAGGACTGCATTACACAGTGGAAACATGGGTTCGTGTCTGACTCCGCTAGGTCGTGAGCCAGCGGCAAGCAGGTCCTGTTCGCAGCTCAGTGCTAAGGTGTAGAATGGGTGTCTTTTCATTTCAGGTAGGTTTGCGTGTCTTCCCCCCCTCCTTTCAGAAGGCTGCCATTCGTTTTGCTTCCTTGCATTTTTTTTCTCTCTCTCAAAGCTGCCGGATAAGGCTATTCATACTCCAGGAACTGTTTGTGATAGAACAGCAAATACCTGCCAAAAAATACAATTAAATCAAAAACAATCCTTATTTTGAGTCAGGGACAGAGACGCAAGAAATTTTTATGCTTCCCACTGCAAGCCGATTTCCGTTTCCATCTGGCTCTGTCAGGCAAGTTAAATAATAATAACAACAACAGTGTGCCATCAAGCTGCAACCGACTCATGGCAACCCCAGGAGGACCAAACGGTTTTCCAGGTAAGAGAGGAGCAGAGGTAATTTGCCATTGCCTTCCTCTGCACAGCAACCACATTCTTTCTTGGTGGTTCCCCATCCAAGTACTAACCGTGGCTAATCCTGATTAGCTTCCACGGTTTGATGAGGTTGGGCTTGTCGGCTGTTGGGCACGTTAAAAGCAAAAATGACTCCCGGGATGTATTCTGCTTACTTTCCTACATGCCTGCACCATGATGACACTAAATAAGTTTAAGCCCCTGACTCACCATGGTGCATGCCCATCTATTCTGGCTCTGCCCTGGGGTACTGTTTGCTGGAATGCGAGGCAGGGATTGGTGCCTGGGAAGACGGCTTAAAGGAGCTATTCCAAGCGTGGCGATGCTAGCCTTCTCTGTACAAGGGGAATGGGAGAGAAGTGAGAAAGAGTGCGGAACCAAAGACCTGAGGCTTGCTTGGTCTTGGTCTGATATCTGAATGCAGCCTTAGGAGCACGAAAGATAAAAACTACCTGCTTTCACAAAGAACCAACTCCAAGTTTCTTGCCTTTAGTTTCTATGCTTGGAATGACAAATCCAAAAACTTCCAAGTTAAAATTTACCCTTTCATCAATCAGGAAGAGGAAAAGGCCGAATGCCGTTAAAAATACTGGCTTCATCTGCTCGTCGTCAAAAGAGAAGGGTTGGGAATGCCAAAAATGGAGGCAGTGCCAGATTTTAAACTGTCGCTCCCCCCCAAAAAAACCCCCCATAATGCAGCTTGCCAACGACAAGTGGGAACATATTGCCATTTTACAAAAATATAGCTTTTGGGTAGGGATAAAGCAGCAAACTATAATCTCTGAAATGTGATCTGCATAGGGAATATTAACAGCAAACTTGTACTTAAGAAAAACAGGTTGCTTACCTGTAACTGGTGATTTTCGAGTGGTCATCTGTGCATTCACACCCATGGGATCTAGTGCGCACGCGCTGGATCGATCGGCATTGTAGCAAGCTCTTTAATGGATTTTCACGCCCAGACCTCGGGCATGTGCAGGAACCCCACTGCGCATGCCCAGACGGGTGGGCGCGGACATCCCACCAGTTCCTTCGAACCACCGCAAATCAACCCCTATGGAACATGTAGAAGCTGACAGCAGCGGGGAATGAGGGTGGGTTGTGTGAATGCACAGATGACCACTCGAAGATCATCAGTTACAGGTAAGCAACCTGTATATCTTCGACGTGGTCTCTGTGCGAGTCCCCAGCCTTGCTGGTGCATACGAGACGAACAGTTGGGAGTCACGTCTCGCTAGGCGGGTTCTGTTCAGATAGAACAGGAGTGCACGCTTCACATCCAAGGTGTGTAACAGTCTGTCCTCTGAGGATGTCGGAGCTGGGAAGAAATCTGGGAGGAAGAAGAAACTGAGGAAAAATCCGAAGAGCCGTGAGGCAAATAGCCAAAAATGTGAACAGATCTGACCGACGAGAAAGAGGTCTTTCCAACGCGGCGGTAAGAAAGGAACTGGCGGGATGTCCGCTCCCACCCCTCTGGGCATGCGCGGTCGGGTTCCTGCGCATGCCCGAGGGACTGGGTGCGAAAATCCGTGAAAGAGGTTGCTA